CAAATAATGCACGGCAGATATGAATTTTCTGGCCTCCCATATGTAATACCGAACACGGTTAACTTTCACTTTGACACGTCAAGACTACGATTCTGTGAACTCGCTCTCACTCACGTTTACTTTTATCTGCCAAAGCAACAGCAACCACCATCAGGATAAATACAAAGTATAGCAAGAAACTCAATCAATTGAATGGTTGCCTATCTATCATCTCTTATTCAACGTTCGCTCGTGGAATAGTTGTTTATTTGGTGAAGTTATTTGGTGAAGAGATAAAATTTCAACCATGAGAATGACGGAACCAACCATTATGTAGTAAAACGCGTTATATATGTTCAGTAGCGGAAGGTATCGATCAAAACTGCGCTGAATAATCTCAATGCTGACATGTTACACAAACTATTCAAAAATGAGTGACGGTTACTTAAATAAAGCACAGGGTTATACAACTTTCAGACTGATAAAAGATGCGAATACGTTTTTCCTTGTACAAACCTTCATAAAATAAAACTTTTATAACACAACACCATCATGTTGAATTCTTAAAGTCAGTTCCTTGGAGAAAAAACTAAATGTAAATGAAGTTATAGCTTAAAGTTAGTAGAATAGTCGTAATTTGCAGTGCTTCACATTTCCAAGCAATATAGGTAAACGTCACTTCAGCCTTACATTCATTTTGTTTGAAACTTTAAAATATTTATATCATGTATTTTTAAAATACATCTGAACCCAACCAAAGTCGAATGTAATTGAAATAGTTACAACACCAGAGGAGCTGACTCCTGTGTTTGCCGCACTGATGCATATCATACGTACCCGCGAAACAATCAGAAACCTTCCTTAGACAATTTTAGAGGATAATATTAGCAATGTTTTCATTATTGTCGCTGTTATCGATATTAGTGGAAAGTTGTCTCAAGGGCTGGCCGGTTCATTAGTGCGAATGCTTTATTATCTACTTTTCGAATTACTAATGACACTTATTATGAAGATGACGGCAACCTTAAAAAAAAGTCATTGCGGTCCCTTTTAAGATCTTATTTTGATCTTTTGTCCATTTGTTCCCTCAAAATATCAAATGATTTTTTAGAAAATTATGAGCGAAATCATTGATTGAAATAAGAATGGAAACATATGTCAAAATAAGACATGGGAAATAGAGAATAATACATGGGCGCGCGTAAATATGGAATTTCTTTTCGAGTGTTCAACTCGATAGCTCACGAGTTAGATGTCGAGTTGAACACGAGAAGAAAAATTCTATATCTACAAGCAACCATGTATTATTTTGTTTATTATGGAAACACAATAGCCCTTCATTGACAAGAAAAGCAGACCAGTGAAAATAAAACGGTCGACAATCCTCGAATAAAAATCGTCAAGAGCGTCGGCGCTAAGGCTCAAGATGAAACAATGCGTTGAATGGCCACAAAAACTACAATAGGCGTAATTTTCAATGTAAAAACTTCTCAGATATTGACTTTGTCCTTACCGAAAGAAGAAATCTTCGAGGTACTCGGCCAAAATCGACCTGTGGCAAATCTTCCAGTTGTCGATTTCCGTTCTCATTACCAAATGCTATCACCAGAGCCAATGAATACGTAATTTTCGGTTTTTCTTTCAACCCCTTCTAGGGAAGTATGAACGTCACTGTCTGTAAGCGATAAAGATTTTTCAGTGCTTTAGCAGCCATAACCCGAGAAAATTTCGACAAAAAACCATGGATTGAGAATGGTAAAGACTTTGCCATTCATTCATCAATCTGACCAAGTGGTGCGAAAGGCGAGTTACGTGTCAGCAGCTGAATGGCGATATCAAACACAAATGAATAAATGATATATTAAATGTATTAAAATGACGTCACTGTTTGTGGAAAAATCTTCGAAACCCTACCAGCAACTCGTCGAAGTTTCGAAAATTGCAGAGGGGTTTCATGTTTCTTACACTGCGTATTAATTCTGAATCTATCTTATTCACGGGCTTATGTTCAAGCTCATTACTGATGACCTTCACTTGAAAAAATATTTCGGACAATTTTCAGAAATTTTCGGAAATATTATTTACGAATTCATGTATAGTATTCGAGACTATCCAGTTTTGATCCGGTCAAACAGCAAATGGCACGGAGAGGCGTGTTCAGAAGCAAGTTATTTTTTCTTTAACTTTCAAAGCAAACGAAAAGTGTTGAGAGGTACTCTCACAGACTCATCTTAAAAAACAATTATCACTAAATTTACCACTGGAAGTAATTTCAAAATAGCCACTTGTTTGAGTTATACCTTTTCGAGTTCAATACCTACTTGACTTAACTAATGTGAAACATTTGAAAGGAATTACGGGAAAAAATAAAACTCGAATTGAAAATATAAAATCCCTGAGTTGATGTTAGAGAATTAGTTTATATTAGTCCTTTAAAGATTGTCATAGAGGTAGATTTAAGTCAGAAGAGGAACAAAAGAATTGGACGAGTTATCCTAGAAATGCATGCAAATCGTTTTAGTTGACATTAATTTTAGCTCATTTTGCTTGCCTACAATAGGTCATTTTCGTTCGCAATCAGTGCCATTCCTTTCTATAATCGCCTATTCCAACTCCTCTTGTTCCTTCTATTTTGTGATTTCCGGGCATATTAGAAGCCGCTTTCACGTTACAATTAACAGTTAAGGTAATTAATGTGCGACAACTAGTTATTGCTGCAATTCATGCGCGAGAAAATCTTAAGTGGAAACACATGAACACCAGCGTGGAGCCAGTCAATCAAAGCCTCCAAAACCTCTAAAATCCAACATATTGATCCAAACGGTACAGTTGATCTTCAAAAGTCATCCAACTCAACAAATCAAGTTTGTCAGCAATTTTTTTCAAACTCTAGAAAAATGGCAAGCACCGATGGCGACATAGTCCCTCTGGAGGTTAGTTTCATCACCACTATCATCATCAACACCATCACTTGTCCTTTCGTAGTTCTGCTCAACGTACAGGTGATAATCGCAGTGAAAACAAGACCTCGACTCCAAACCAACAGCAACATCTTGCTGGCCTGTTTAGCGGTGACTGACGCATTAACTGGTCTCTTGGGCCAACCGTCATATATCCTGTGGACAATATTCCAATTATCAGGTCTCAGTAGCAGCAAAACAGTTGGAAGGTTTCATTTCAATGTTACACTTACATTTGCAGTGGCTTCATGCCTTCATCTGATTTTGGTTACTTTCGAGAGGCTTACTGCGATCAAATTTACAGTGCACTACCCAAACATTGTCACTGGTAATAACATGATGATAGCAGTGATAGTTGTTTGGATCATTGCTTTCATATGTAATATTTGTCAGGCGTTAAAGCTTTATCTAGCATTGTATTACATGGTAGGCCTTATCGGTATTTCGTGTATCCTTTTCGTTGCCTTCACATACATGATTTTGTATCATGAAACACGTCGTCACCAAAGGAAGATAAAAGCACAACAAGTGCCTCAAGAAGAGGTGGAAAGATTTACCAAAGAGAACAAGGCTCTTCAGACAACTGTGCTTGTTGTTGGTGGTGTTATCATCTGCCTTCTTCCAGTTTGTTTTTGTCTCATCGTTGTAGCTACAGGCCTTTATAGCTTTTGCCCTATCAACGGATCAATGTGGCAAACTTGTAGCATGTTAAACTCGCTTGTTAATCCACTGATCTACTGCTGGAGACAAAAAGCAATAAGGAAGCTCGTGTTTACACACTGTAGAAGAAGAACCCAGGTCGTGCAGCCAGCCACCCAATGAAGAGGGGGAATATCACAGAGGGAATGAAAAAAGAAACTGCTTAGTTTTTGTTTTATTTGAGAACTACATTTTTGATTAGGAGAGTCGATACTTTTACCACACGCATAATGTGATTCTCGAAAGCATTATCTGAACTAACGGAAACGACTTTGAAAAGGAAGGTTTATCTTTATATTCAGGCTCAGCTTTTTTTCGCAGACAAAGCTACCTTTAATGATTCCAGTTCTTCGTTGCTCTAAGTAAGCAATGATTGACTTTGTTTCAGATAATTGAGTTGAAATGTTTAGTTCCTTTTTAGGGGGTTAACTTGGAAATTAGACCTTAATTTTGTGGACGAAGTAATTCGCATTTTGTTTTCCTGAAACTTGAGGCAACTATGTTTAATAATACATGTACATATGATTATAAAAGTGATTACTTTACTTTATTAGCTCTTGACGCTTCATCCGTCTCTATGACTTTGCACCTCAGGTCACTCATGTGAAATAACATGGCTCGCACGCGCTTTTCACGGTTTACCTTTCACACGGAAAGAATGGTGTTGACATTTACCAAGAATGACACGTGGAGAAATGCCGGTTTTGTATTTTTTTTCCGGTTTACAGGTTTCTTAACACCCTTCTCATCCTGTTATCTGGTGTGTTTGGTGTGCTTGAGGACCCCTTTTAACGTTCGTGGACAATTTGTTATTTTTTGGTGTTGCTTGTACATTCAAAGTCACAATTCAGGTATTTTACAGCCCCTGTTTATTTTTCGGTGCAGTCATTTGTAATGAATTAAATGGCAACCAAACTTTTGCTTGATGTTGAAGAAAAGCAAAACTAAGCTTGCACAAAGCTTTTGTTATGGCAACCGGCTTCTATGCATATATTAAGCAAATGTGACTTGGTTTGAAAGCAATATCTAAACTCTTAAGAGCCTTCAGTTTAACATGAAAACCCTTGATTTCTTTTTCCCATCATCGTGGTAATCTAGAAAAATCAAACTTCTAGACAAAAGTTCCGGAACCTTCCTTAATTTCAAAGTTTTAGTTGACTTCTGGTCCCCGCTCTCTGAAAAGGAATATCCAATCACAACGTTTAATAGGCAACTAACTAGATAGATAGATAGATAGAGAGGATATTTACAATCGCTTTGCAACTGAAAAATTGAATTACACGATTATTAAAAAGGCTAATATCAATAATAACATTGAAAAGAACTATCAGTGGTTTAAATAAATAAAACATGTCGATTTAATATTATATTCTAACAAAATTGTTTAGAGTTCAAGGGCATCAAAAGTGATAAAACTATTACCAATCTTTTTGTATGGGTATATGAATTTGTGATACGCATGGCGTCTTTTGGTTATTATCACCAACATCCGCTACTTTTTTATTTACGATTTCCAGTAAATTGGAAAATGTTTGACTTCACCACTATTGTTATACTGCAAAACATAAAACTTTTCTTAGCATTGATACCACATTCTCGATATAACCATTAATAGTGTTGTGTTCCCAAATGTAGATGTATAAAGGAAGGGGGGCGGCGGAAGGGCGGGGCTAATGAAGAGTTTTCCGTTGGAGGAGGGGAAGGATCTTTTAACAATGGGAAAAAAGCAAAATGAATGTTGCAATAATAGCGCTGTACATGGTTGGGTTGAGGGATCACGTAGTTTATTTCAAATTTCCAAGAAATATAATTAAACATTACCTCAGCCGTAAATTCATTTCGTTTGAAACTTTAAAATATGTTTGAAATAGCGTAAACCAAAAAATTATACCGTGTATTTTTAAAATGCATTTGAACCCAACCAAAATCAAATGTAATCGAAATAGCTACAACACCAAAGGGGCTGACTCCTCGTTTCTGCCGCACTGATTCATATCATACATAGCCGCGAATCAATCAGACATTTTTCCTTAGCAATTTTTGAGGATGATATCAGCAATATTTCAATTATTATCACTGTTATCAACATTAGGGGAAAGTTATCTCAACGGCTAGCCGGTTCATTAGTGCGAATGCTTAACAATCTACTTTTCTATTTACTAATGACACTTATTATGATGACGACAGCAGCCCTTAAAAATGTCATTAAGTTCTACTTTAAGATCTTATCTAGATCACTTGTTCATTTGTTCCCTCAAAATATCAAACGCTTTTTTAGAAAATTATCAGCGAAATCAGTGATTGAGAGTGGAAACATATATCAAAATAAGACATGGGAAATAGAGAATATGCTTGGGCGCGCGTAGAATTTCTTTTCGAGTGTTCAACTTGATAGCTTACGAGTGAGATGCCGAGTTGAACACGAGAAGAGAAATTCTTTATCTACAAGCAACAATTTATCAATTTGTATATTATATAAACGCAATAGCCCTTCACTGACAAGAAAAGCCGACTTTATTGACGAATGAAAGTAAAACGATCGACATTCCTCGAATTAAAATCGTAGAGTGCGTCGACGCTAAGGCTCAAGATAAAACAATGCGTTGAATGGCCACAAAAACGACAATAGGCGTAATTTTCAATGTAAAAATTTCCCAGAGATTGACTTTGTCCTTACTGAAAGAAGAAATCTTCGAGGTACTCGGTTGAAATCGACCTGTGGCAAATCTTACAATGTCGATTTCCGTGCTTATTTTTAAATGCTGTCACCAGAGCCACTGAAATCGTAAATTTCAGTTTTTATTTTCGTATTTTGGTTCTAGGAAAGTTTGAACGTCACTTTCCGTAAGCGATACGGTTTTTTCAGCACTTTAGCAGTCATAATCCAACGAAATCTCGACCAAAACTAAATCGTAAAGACTTTGCTGTTCATTCATCAACCTGCACGAGTGGTGCGAAAGGCGACTGACATGACAGTAGCTGATTGGCGATATCAAACACGCGTGAAAAAAAGTTTTTTTCTTTTTTTTTTCTTTTTCACTTTTACTGTTACGGCTTTTTCTCAGACTGGAAATCCTTGTATAACATCTTAGTTTATATGATGAATCTCTTTATCGCTCTCTAACCTCTCTGAGCCGGTAAATAACAATAAAATTCTAGAAATTTCCCTCTGTGTAATTCCAACAACAACGACAACAACAACAACACGAAGTGAAGCAAAAGAAAAAATTGTCGTACATTGCATACCCAGAACTGCAAAGAGAAAGCTAAATGAATTTTTACTCTTGAAGTGGATATTTGATTCTCTTCGATTAAGTTGTAAGAGAATCAGATCACAAAGTCAATCTTTCCTGACCAAAAGTACGTTTTCCAAAGTACCTATTTACTAAGAAATTTCGTTTACTAATTGGAAGGACATCCGTAAGAAATGTGTATATAAATAATCATCAAGGCTTCCCGTCTTTCGCCTTATTTCTCTCTTTCCCTGGATGGCTGGATGCACGACCTGGTTCCTTATTTTAAATTCAAACTTCCGCATTTCTTTATGTCTCCAACAGCACATCAGTAAATTAAAAAGCGAGTTTAACATTGTCTGCATCAATACTTCGTCGATGATACAGATGAAAGGAAAAAGACCAGGCAGAAACCAAGGGGAAGAAGGCAGACTACAAGAGCACCAATCACAAAAACAGTTTTCTTAAGCGTTTTTTTCTCTTGGGGGCGACGTGTTTTATGATACAAAATCACACAAAGAAAGGCAACGAAAACGATATCATAAATAATGTTTACGAATTCATGTATAATATTTGTATCTGTTTTATCAGGGAGGCTATTCAACTTATTACAGAAGACAAATTTAAACTCGGATTACTTATTATGGAAAATTGGATGATTACTTACAGGAAAACAAAAATTTTTTCAAGTATTTTTTTTGTTACTTACGAATTACTTACAATGGAAAATTGGATAATTACTTACAGGAAAACAGAAATTTCTTAAAGTATTTTTTTGTCAGTTAAAATGCAAATAATACATATACAAAAAATACTGCGCGGTATAACGGCATTAAAATCGAATTTTAAGTTTTCAATAATATTTCACCACATATTACACTTTTACAAAATATCACATTATCGTTGTACTGAAGATGTTGATCGTTCAGTGTTGACTGTATAAACCGAAGTATGCCGGTACAATGAGTGAGAGATGGCTGCGTAGCTCAGATACCAGATGCACAACCCACTAATATAAAAATGTTCATTACCTTCCCTACTTTTCCCCAACGACCAAATCAACAAGAAGAAGCGGAATCCAACCCCCCCCCCCTCTAACGGCCCACGCCCTTGAAGGGGTGCGGAACCCATCCAAGAACGTTCCTGAAAAAGTTCTCCGAACACTAACTGAATTAAATTTACATATAAGCTTACGAATAAGATAGATTAAAGACAAAAATTAGATAGTTCGGTGGTTACACTATGAAATCGCCAATTACTGTATGGTGTGAGCCTTAAATTTGTCCAATGCTAAACATGTAACTCAATAACGGAACAAAAGCAGTCAGTTCTTCAGAATATATCTCACCGTTAACCTCGCTCTCTCCTTCCCCGGACTACAGCTACTTTACCTCCAAGTCGAAGTTGATGTTGGGTTGTTATGAAATAATTTTCAGTTTTCTCATTCAGTAATTTCACCAACCGGAACAGTTTCGCTTGAAAATACCAAGCTCTGATTAAGTGACCAAGCCGTTGAAATAGAGGACATCATAAAGATTGGGGCTAAAAAGTACAAAGGGGAGTCTAACAGCTTCCGACAGCTTTCAGGACACTTGATATGATCTCAACGCGTTCTCAGTTGTGATCCGGTCAAACAATGGGAATGGCACTGAGGGGCGTGTTCAGAAGTAAGTTACCTTTCTTTTTTACCATTCAAGGCAAACGAATAGTGTTGAGAGGTGCTCTCATGGACTCATCTTAAAAAAAAAATTATTGCTAAATTCATCAACATTCATTTTGGATGTAACTTCAAAATAACCACTCCTTTGAATTATATATATTTTTGAGTTTAATACCTACTTGACTAAACTAATATAAAACATTTGAAAGGAATCAGGTAAAACTCAAATTCACACTATAAAACCCCTTGGTTGATGTTAGAGAATATATATGTTAGAGAGTATATATTAGTCTTTTAAAGAGTGCTTTAGAGGTAGATTTAAGTCAGAAGAGGAACAAAAAAAATTAACGAGTTATCTTAGAGATGTGTGCAAATCATTTCAGTTGATATTAATTTCAGCTCATTGTGCTTGCCTACAATGGGACATTTCCGTTCGCAATCAGTGCCATTCTCTTCTATATTCGCCCACTCTAACTCCTCTCGCTCCTTATATTTTGTGATTTCCGGAAGTGTTAGCAGCCGTTTTCATGTTACAATTAACAGTTAAGGTGATTAATGTGCGACAAAAACTAAAATAGAAATACTAACAATAAAAAATAGTGTCCCGTCAAATTACCAAAAAAAAAGAAAGACAAAAAAAATGGGGGAGGCGATCTATGAGTTGGACTTTATTAGCTTTCAAATCACCATAATCAACAAAATTTATCACTGCATTATTCGAAAAAACTACTTATCATTGCAATTCATGCGCGAGAAAATCTTAAGTGGAAACACATGAGTACCAGAGTAGAGCCAGTCAATCAAAGCCTCCGAAACCTCTAAAATCCAACATATCGATCCAAACGGTACAGTTAATCTTCAAAAGTCATCCAACTCAACAAATCAAGTTTATCAGCAATTTTTTCAAACTCTGAAAAATGGCAACTACCGAAGGCGACACAGCTAAAGTCCCTCTGGAGGTTAGTTACATCATCGCTATCATCATCAACACTATCACTTGTCCCTTCGTAGTTCTGCTCAACGTGCAAGTGATAATGGCCGTGAAAACAAGACCTCGACTCCAAACCAACAGCAACATCTTGTTGGCCTGTTTAGCGGTGACTGACGCATTAACTGGTCTCTTGGGCCAACCGTCATATATCCTGATGAGAATATTTCAATTATCAGGTCTCAGTAGCAGCAAAACAGTTGGAAGGTTTCACTTCAATGTTACAACTACATTTGCAGTGGCTTCATGGCTTCATCTGATTTTGGTTACTTTCGAGAGGCTTATTGCGATCAAATTTACGACGCACTATCCAAACATTGTCACTGGTAATAACATGACGATGGGAGTGATAGTTGTTTGGATCATTGCTTTAATATGTAATTTTTGTCATGCGTTAAAGCTGTATCTAGTATTATATTACGTGGCAGGCCTTGTCGGTATTTCGTGTATCCTTTTCATTGTCTTCACATATGTGGTTTTATATCGTGAAACACGTCGCCACCAAAGGAAGATAAAAGTACAACAAGTACCTCAAGATGAAGTGGAAAGATTTACCAAAGAGAACAAGGCTCTTAAGACAACTGTGTTGGTTGTTGGTGGTGTTATCATCTGCCTTCTTCCAGTTTGTTTTTGTCTCATCGTTGTAGTTACAGGCCTTTATAGATTTTGCCCTATCAATGGATCAATATGGCAAACTTGTAATATGTTAAACTCGCTTGTTAATCCACTGATCTATTGCTGGAGACAAAAAGCAATTAGGAAGCTCGTGTTTACACACTGTAGAAGAAGGACCCAGGTCGTGCAGCCAGCCATCCAATGAAGAAGGGGACTTTGACAGAGGGACTGAAAAAGGAATCTGCTCAGTTTTTGTATCATATGAGAACTACATTATTGATTAGGAGAGTCGACTCATTTACCACAGGCAAAATGTGATTCTCGAAAGCATTATTTAAACTAACGGAAAAGAAGACTTTGCAAGGAAGGGTATTTCCTCAAATTCAGGCTCAGCCTTTTTTCGCAGACATAGCTACCTTAAATGATTCCAGTTCTTCATTGCTCAAAGTGAGCAATGATTGAGTTTATTTCAGATAATTAAGCTTTAGGGTGTCTACATAGGAATTAGACCTTATTTTTGTTGACGAAGTAATTCGCTTGTTTTTTCCTGAAGCTTGAAGTAAGGTAATGCTTGGTAATACGTGCAGATATGATTAAAAGAATTATTACCTTACTTGATTGGCTGTTGACGCCTCCTTCCATCACTGTGATTTTGCACCTCAGGCTATTCATATAAGATAGCATGGCTCGCACGAGCAGCGTCGTCTAGGGCTTTCACAGTTTACTTTCCACAGTGAAAGAATGGTATTCACATTTACCTGGAATGACACGTCGAGAAATTCTGGTTTTTGTTCCGGTTTATAGTTCTCTCACCATCCTTTTCATCCCGTTGTTTGGTGTGGGTGGTGTGTTTGAAGACCACTTTTAACGTTTCTGGAAAATTTGTTAACTTTTTGGTGTTGCTTGTACAATTAAATTCACAATTCAAGTATTTTACAGCCCCTGCTCATTTTTTGCTGCAATCGTTTGTAATGATTCAATTGCAACCAATCTTTTGCTTGATGATGAAGAAAAGCAAAAACTAAAACAACCCTTCTATGCATATATTAAACCATACAGGTAAGTCGGTGTAAGAGTAATTAAGCAAATGTGACTTGGTTTGAAATCAAGATCTAACTCTTATTAGCCCGTAGTTTAAAATGAAAACCCTTGATTTCTTTTTCCCGTCATTGTGGTGATCTCGAAAAATCAAACAACAGTGCCGAACCCGCCAACGAGTTCAAAGCTACTGCGGTTTTTACCTTATGCCAAAGGTCTGTCCGAACAGCTTCGCCGTTTCCCACAACAACAAGGCGTTTTCAAGTCGGAGACTAGGCTAAGATCTCAGTTAGTACGGCCAAAAGACGCTGTCGACCCGGCTAAACAAGATGGCGTGGTTTAAAGGATTCCCTGTGAATGCAGCAAAGTGTACATCGGAGAGACTGAAAGACCTATACAAGACAGAATTAAGGAGCACGATCGAGACATCCGACTCTCTCGTACCGAGACCTCCGCCGTTTCAGAGCATGCCCACAACACCGGACACAAGCCGCTCTGGAACGAAGTAAAGTTTATTGATCGTGACCCATATTACTACACGCGCAGGGTCAAAGAGGCAATTCACATAAGACTTCCCCCTAACAACATCAACAGGGATATTGGAATAGAAATTCCAGAAGCGTGGATGCCAACGATCAAAAACACAACAACAGGAGAGCTGTGCGACAGCGGACCGCCGAGGGAGGAAATCAATGAGTAAACAGCAAGGATCGAAATGCACCGATCAGAGCTGTTGAAAAAAAACTAATCATAGCAGAGCATCATGCTTTATAAGATCACACATGACCAGTCGACCTCATCGCCTGAAGAAGACTAGCAGTATGCAGTCGAAACGTCGCGATCTACATCACACGTGACTACATCGTGAGACAAACGAAAAACTTAGCTTTTAGTGTTATTCACTGCGATGAATAAACACAGCCTTTTCTTGCTTAACATTGATACCAAATTGTCGATGTGGCCCTTGATAGTGTTGTGTTCTCAGAGATGAGATTCAGTTATTGTTACTTTTTTCATATAGGAGCTAGATCCTGCAAGATCATGCAAGGTATAAGTGCGGTTATATATCCCATGATGATGGTACTTTCAAGTTTAAGCAAAACTTTATTTACTTGTTACAACTAGAATAACTTTAGGGAGAACGTTTGTGCCTGATAACAGCTAAGAATATCTTGAAAACATTCTTCGTTGGTGAATAAATTAACAGTTTCAAAAATCGTTTCTGTGAGTTACAGAAAAGAGCCATCAGTGTCCCTAAATCGTAGGTCGATAATGGAAGTTCAACGTAAATTTTGGTAAGCATCAATAAATATATTTCTGGTTGTCAGTATTTGCCTTTCCTTGTTCATTAAATGGATTTATGTTACAAAGTCACACCTAAGAATTTCATTCCTAGTATAGATCTGTAAGCCAAGATGAGAAACAAATATGAATATTTCGGACCAAAAGATTCGATCCTACCTAGCGCGGATATTGAAAACTGACTGGAAAATTAAATAAAAAAGATGGTGAGTTCTGAGTTCGGCAAAGAAATCAGAGAAGGATGGTTTTTCTTCTTTTCACGAGCGTGGGATTCTGAGTCCCCATGAGGAATCGAACCTCACGCCCAGTAGAATTGTCAAAATCCAAGCTTTCCCCGATCCACGACATGATCAGGGATAAAATACTGAATGAATGAATAAATCTTTCAATCGAGATTTGTGGGAACTAGGCTTTGTTTGCAGTAGATTTAACGTTTATGAACCAAAATCTGTTTGCCCCTAGCTACTACGAATTTTCGAGTGAAGTATATGGATGGAAAAAGTGAAAATTTATAACGTGTTGAGCCGTAAATAATACTGATCTGAGTGATCTGACTGAAGAAGTAAGCAGCGTTTGCATCAATTATTATTTTAGAATTATCATGATCTATTGTCATGATCACGTTCAGGATTTTTTCAGATTAATTTTTGTGACCAAGTTCCACCCTATTACTCGTTAGCTGGACGCAGAGCCTGAATTCTCATTCTGAATATAAACTTCATCATATATTTTTGTCTCCAGCAGTAAATCAGTGGATTGACAAGCGAGTTTATCAACGACTTTCATCAAGAGTTTGTTGATGAAGCAAACGTCATATTTTTTTCAAGTCTACAACTGAGTTCCTTCGGTCGTATTTCACTCGATTCCGAAGCAACATCTTACACCTTGCTTTAGCTGTGAATTTATCAGATTCGAGATGTTGAATTTTTCATAAATTAATCAATTACATTATTCTCAAAACACACAACAATGCAAACAAAATAGAATTTTATTGTATTCCTCAAAGGTCATGGGGACCTCGAATATTTGCCATATACGATTACTCACTTACTGAATGCACGGCGTGGGTTCTTATTCTAAACACAAACTTTCTCATTTCTTTTTGTCTCCAGCAGTATATTAGTGGATTAACAAACGAATTTATCATGGCAAACGTTTACATCAAAGCTTCGTTGATTATGCAAACGTCATAAATTCCTGGGGTTAAAAGCATAAAACAGAAACAAACTGGAAGAAAGCAAATAAAAACAGCACCCACTACAAACACAGTTGTCTTCAGCGCCTTGTTCTCTCTAGTGAATGTCTCTATTTCCTCTAGACGGAGTTGTTGTGCTTTCATCTTCTTTTTATGGCGACTTGTTTCGTGATACAAGATCATATAAGAGAAGGTAACAGAAAAGATACATGAACTAATGACAATGCTGCTTAAAAAAAAAAATATCTGTAAATTTTTTATCATTCTGAAAAACCCAATTACGAGAGACATGATCCAAACTAACAACACTGCTAGATTTATAGTACTATCAGTTACAATTATCAAATAGTACATAGTAAATTTCATCGCTATGAGCCGCTCGAAAGTTACCATCATCAGATGAAAGCATGAAGCTACCAGCAATGTAGACATGACATCGAAATGGAGATTTTTAATTACTACGCTGCTACTGACACCAAGTAAAAGGAATATCTGCCACAGGATAAAGGTTGGCTGCCCAAGGAGACCAGTTGATGCGTCAATTATCGCTAAACGGGTCAGCAAGATGTTGCTGTTGGTTTGAAGCCGTGATCTTCTTTTCACGGCCATTATCACTAGCACGTTGAGCAGAACCGTGAACGGACAAGTGATGGCGTTGAGGATGAGAGTAATGACATCACTAATCTCCAGAGAAACATCTGCTGCATTGCTTTCTCCACTAGTTGTGTTTGAAGCGCTCGTGAAGCTAGCCAAGGAGAAGTTTGCCATGTCGACTTGAAATTATACTGCAAATCAGCTATGTCTTTTGGGTCTGGTCATTGGTTTATCTTTTCAATTTTAACTTTAATCTACCGCTAAAAGTAATGTGCAAATGCTTGAAAACGGAAGGAGGAAAAGGCAGAGGAAATCTAATGCTTTTTATTGTAAGTAGTTTAAGCACTCCTAAGAATGACTTCCCAGTCTATTTACACAACGACAGTACAAGATAAAACTTGCATGGAAACACTTAAGGCCTATGAATCATTTTTAATCCAAGAGCGATTGAAATCACTATAGATTTTTTATCCCATTTTTAGCGGTTGCGATAACTAGAAATAGCTTGCTCGTCTCTTCATACAGTATATCGTGCTCTAAATTTAATAAATTTTTTGTTTTGCAATTCTAGATGTAATGTTTTGTGCCTCTAAACATCATTCTTCTTTCTTTCGTCAGCAAAGATTTGTATTCAAAGAAAAATTTTGCCATAATTCATTCGAAATTTATTTTCTTTGGCGTCACTGGATTAAAGAGGATTATTTGTGTCGAGGCTTTTTCATGGCCAGTTAAGTTTAAGTCTTAGAATCATTAGTGAGTTAAAAGCTCACTATTTTAGGTTCGTCAACCAAGTTTTATGTAAAATCTCAATTTATTTGACACCTGTCTCATCTTCGATACCATAGCCATTATTTGCGTGGGGGTAATGTTCAAACCTTCCAATTTTTCCGACCAAAGATTTCGAAATTTGAGCCCAAAAAAACACATGTTAAGCACGTCTGGGCTGTAAATTATGAATGAGGAAACGTATGCTAACGAAAAAAAAAAGCGATGTTTACCCGTTACGGAGCCCGGTAAATTTTTTTTTTGGAGCTGATATGATATCTCTTTCTGAATATCACCATACGAAGGTAGGCTTTAGTCTGTCTGTTCAAGACTACCAAAAAAAGTTTATCTCTCTTATTTATTGGCGTTCTTGTTGGTTTTATTCCTTTTGCGATAGTATCAAAATGCATTGCTTGGCTTTTTATGGAGTTTATTGAGATTGATATGTAGCCTGAATTACATTAAACAATTAAGCCACACGATAACGCCTACAAATACAGGATTTGTTTCTTAAGACTACATGAAATGGGCAATTATGCGTGTGAGGCGAGAAATCACTTGTCAAAACATGCCGCACGGGAATGAAACTCCATTAAGGTGGTTTTGGCCTGTTCCAACCTCTCGCCAAGAGAGGCAAAAAACGGCAATAGCCAGATTACAGTAAATGAGACAAGAACAGGTTACGTATGGTGTACATACAAGTTACCTAAGAAGTTATCCAGAGGGAATTTAAAAACCTTTACCACAATTGCAAGCCGTATAATAACTTTTACGTAAGTAAAAAATGCATGTAAGCCCCAGATTTACAACGACATGGTGTTATCTACTATAAATTAAGTGTAAAAAATTGGGCATTATCATGTGGGGGAAACAGTTAGGACTTGTACTCTAGCTAGGAACCGGGTTAAAGAACACCAAATAAAAACATCGTTGGCCATATACGAAATGTAATCGTGTTGCATCAGGGTACTTCATCGTTCCGCAGAACGCGAAAGTCACAGTTACATAAGGTAAAGGAAGCTACATATATCAAGATCAGACGTTCGTATAAATCCTTGCTCTCAAAACCTAGTTTACTTCATTCAAATGAAAAAATATTGGATGGACGAAGAAGGAGTCTGAATTCAAAGCTACAGCACCAAAGATGAGATAGGTATAATTAACATTTTTAACGAAAATCTCAGTTGATGAACCTAAAGAAGAGAGCTTAAGACTAACAAATAACTTCCTTGACAATGAAAAAACTGCGATGCAACTAGATAACCGTTCAAACCTATGGTGCCAAGGCAAAAACACGATAGAGATACGTTAAATCAATAGATAACTTACATCACAGCCACAAAATAACAAGAAGAGAGGAACGAAGTTTTATAAGTGATCGCGACCACAAAAAATGGGCTTTGGGGGGCAAAAAAACATGTGCTAATATGTGAAAAATCTTGAGCAATTTTCAGTCACTTTTGATTGAGATTGAAGAATGGGCTGAGCTCCAAGGAAATCAATTTGATTAGGCGGCGAAAAATGTTTTCGAAAAAGCTTTCTTTTGTGTTGTTGTTGTATAATGTAGACTGAGAAGCCATTCTTAGGAGATGATTTATATATTTGCCATGGGAGGAATTAGCTTTTCTTTGGCTTCTTTGTCCTTCTCTTTCTGTGAGGGGATAAAAATTTGGTGGAAACATTTGCCAAGTAATTTTAGGGATGGATCAGAGAAAAAACGCCGACCAAGATCAGGATGTAATTCGAAATAGCTGGTTGACTATAGTTTAAGAAATTCTTGGAGACTGTTAAATTAACAAGTCTAATTTTATATCAAGTGTTTTCCTTCCATAATTTCTGGATTCGCTGATGGTTTCCTTAGAAACAGACAATATTTTGAATAACAGAAAATGCGAAAGGGCGAGCTTCTTGAATTGTTGAAATGCTGCTGTTAGCTGACGCCTTTTCTACCCACTCAATAAACGAGATGTTTTAGAAACTGAGTTCTGGGGAAAACAAATTTTGGGTCAAAGAAGATAGATTTACCGCACACCAAAACTGATCGTCACAAAACTTCATTGGAGCAAAGCAAATATCCTCACTTGGTGTACAATGTATTAAGCTTACTTTTCTGCAATGCCGAACAATTTTGTGTTCTATTTTGTTTATTTTAACCACATTAAAGGAAATGCTCAGTTACTACCTTAAGCTTTGTAAAATATCAGTGGTTAATTCAGTTACGGGTAAACTATTTTCATGTTCTGCCAAATATCTTTGAAGCGGTTTGTGATTCGCGAAGAATAATTTTTGACAGAGACTGATTGTATATCTTCTCTTTTCTTAAAAGCATGGTCAATATATTGAGGAACCAAAATGACCAAAAATCAGAATCAGGATCTCGGAGGCGTGCGTCATAAATTGCTGAAAGAGTTTCTGTCAGTTTCATAGTAAGTGTCATTAGTGTTAAGGAAAGTAGATTGCAAAGTATTACACTACTAAAGTAGCCTCTCGAGATAATTTCCTTGACAATTGGCAGCAATGAAAATAGTGAAATATTGCTGATAGCATTGCCAAAAATGTTTTAACAAAGATTTCTGGTTGCTTCCCAGGTATTTATGAACTATGTAATGAAATGCAAGTATTACATCTCATGGGAACCCTTATCACTATTTTGAGCATCGTTTTCGTAACCTTCGCTACCGGAAGAAGATAAAGGCACAGCAACTGCTCCAAGGAGAAGTGGAAAGAGTTATCAAAGAGAACCAAAGAGAAATTTTCCCTATCACTGAAACATTGTGGCAAACATTTGTCACGTTAAAGTCTCTTGTTAATCCATCGCATCGGCAGAAATATTGGACAAGATGGCGGCCGCGCTTGCGCATTTCGTCCAT